TGAATGAAATCATTTTCTAAATGAAATCATCATCAATCTACCGTCCTTCAATTCTTTTAATGTCTCTTTTCTAAAATGTGTGCTATAGAAAAAGCTTAGAAGATCATCTTTAGGAAAATGATTTATTCGAAGTAAGTATGTTATGCTTCAAAAATCGAGTCTAGATACATTTGATAAAAATATTATAACAACAAACGATCCCCAAAAGAAAATTCAGATCTACACGTCTCATCAAAAGTTTTTTTTTTTTTTCGATTTCTGACCATTTAAAAGACTTTTGATTTTTGCTCATTAAAAGAAAAGCAAAGAAAAAGCAAAAACCGTTCCCCTACCATTCACCAAAAATCCTCACTTACGTTTTCCCCCATTCCCCACCGAATCTCCTCTCTTTCTCTCCATTAAGATTAACCTGGGATTTATTTAAAGCTGATGATTTCGCTAAAAGGGCTTTGACCTGTAACTCTCTTTCGAGATATTTTTGGCCTTTATCCAGATGAATTTTTACTTACATAATCACCGTTCTTACTTTTCCCCTCCAGGAGATCGAAAATCGTGGATAGTCTTGAGGGAAAAGCTCGAAACAAGTGGAGAAACTTTAAATTAAAAACTTTTTGAAGTACTTTTTGAAGTACCCAGCTCTATTCGATTTTGGACATTGAATCGAATGAAAGAATATTCTCTGTAATGGTTCTATTTGCATTGACTTCAAGTAATAGAAGTAAAGCAAAAACGTTAGAATCGAGGCTGCTATTTCAAAAAAAGCTTTAAAAGAGGGTTCGAATTGTCGACTCTCACTAAAACCAAATTATCGGCAATAATCTAATTTTTTGAAGTTGTATTTAGAAATGACTAAAGTAAATCGATTTATGAAACATTTATTAGCAACTGTTTAAGTGGCACAATTGTTTAAGGGGAAGTGCATTTTATAGCAAAAATATAGGCAGATTTAGGACAAGAATTGATCCCAAAAATTTGAGCATAGTGACGGTGAAAACTGTAAGAAAAAAAAGCCCACCATTCCTTCCCGATGGGGGACCGATATCTATCTGGCACGTGTGCCAGACGACGAGCGATTACGCGGCCGCACAAAGAACACATCGTCAGTCATTTCCAAGTCGACGTGGGTTCCAAATGGAAAGCAAATTGTACCAGAGGAGTATGCCAGACGACGAGCGATTACGCATTTAGAACACCAAGCATTTAGGGATTTCCTCTTTTATAGATTATACAAAAAAGATATTCCGTTGGAAATTTGTACCCGGTGGTTTTCAGGGTCGGGCAATCGATTGGAGCTATTCACTTTATTGAAACTGAATTCATGGCAGAGAAAAATGGGATTTTTCTATTGTCTTCAGATCTTAACAAGGGTGTGCGATCATTGGTTTCAAAAACAGAGCTCAGTCTACTTTTTGGCCTTTAATTTAGCTTAGCCAAAAATTCTTCTCCGATTCCAATGCTGATCTCAAGTACGACAATCAGAAAATGACTCCAAATGACCCCCCTTTCCTCATTTCTCATTTCGTTTGCTCATCAAAAATTAGCATAAAAATCAACGACTGAATTCCTCATTCCAACCCAAATAATCCCTAAAAATTACATCATTTTTTGACAAATCCATTTTTTCCTTTCTTCTTCACAATCGAATTTCTTTTCTTTCTCAATATATAAACAATATTTTTCTCCATATATAATTTCTTTTCTTTCTTTAATCATTGCTCGAAATTTGCGCGTGTTTTCGTTGAATTCACGTTCCATCCGGATTATCCACCGGTAAGAAATATTTCCCGAGTTTTTTCGAGCTATTTTTGAGAATCTTTCGCCTACCCAATATACTACTAATTTATAAGTATCCGGTGAGAATTTCTAAAAAGATTTAAATACAGTAACCCTCTCAAAATCGACTCAAAATCCCTAGTGTATTTTTCTAAAATTTTCTAAAATTTTTCTATTAATTCTAAAAGTTTTCACTTTTAAGCCGATGAAACTAGAGATTTTCAGCAGCTTTTTTTGCAAAAACTTTTTAATACCTACCTAATTTTATAAATGGGAAATAAATGGGAGAAGAAATAGAATGGAAATTTTAACATGTAGTTTTAAAAGGAATTATGACGCAAAATCATCATTTTCGATATAAGGGAAAGTGCATGTGGAGTTGAACAAAGAATCGACAAGAATAGAAATAGAAATCGACATCGAATTGGAAAGGAAAATCTGTAACGAATCTGTCATCGAACATCTGTAAGGAAAGCTTGAGCTGAAAGGTGAAAAGTCTTTGCCTTTGCCTCGTCTTTGGACTCGTCTTTGGACTCGTCTTTGCCTCGTCTTTGGACTCGTCTTTGGACTCGTCTTTGCCTCGTCTTTGCCTCGTCTTTGGACTCGTCTTTGCCTCGTCTTTGCCTCGTCTTTGGACTCGTCTTTGCCTCGTCTTTGCCTCGTCTTTGGACTCGTCTTTGCCTCGTCTTTGCCTCGTCTTTGGACTCGTCTTTGCCTCGTCTTTGCCTCGTCTTTGGACTCGTTTTTGGACTCGTTTTTGGACTCGTCTTTGGACTCGTCTTTGGACTCGTCTTTGCCTCGTCTTTGCCTCGTCTTTGGACTCGTCTTTGCCTCGTCTTTGGACTCGTCTTTGCCTCGTCTTTGGCTCGTCTTTGCCTCGTCTTTGCCTCGTCTTTGGACTCGTCTTTGCCTCGTCTTTGGACTCGTCTTTGCCTCGTCTTTGCCTCGTCTTTGGACTCGTCTTTGCCTCGTCTTTGCCTCGTCTTTGCCTCGTCTTATATAAGATTTGAGCCTTGTCTTGTTAGACATGAATTTGACCAGCCTTCCGCACAGACCTATAAGCCGGTGTTCAGGAATCAATTCAAGGAAACCCGATGCTGGAATCGAACTCGACCGTTTAGTTTTTTGCCAAGAACGACGCTAACCAATACATCACAAACCCGTGCGAACATACCTCTTAAAAAGCTTTCTGTTTCAACTGGCATTGACCATTGTTAAACATGGTCTAAATCTTAATCTCAAATCTTCGTTACAGACGTTACAGAAGTCCCAGTCTCGAAGTCACTGTGAGAACAGTCAACTCTCGAGTTCAGCTCTATTCTTTCTCGAATTTCAAAACATTTCTTCTGAAAGTTCTTCTCAGAGTTCACTGTGAGAACCTCAATTTTCTCATCACATTTCCGTCTACAATAGTTAGCCGAAAATTTGATTCTGTTTTAGTTTCATTCACCCAGAAATCCCCGACAGCTAATCAGATTGTGACAAGCAACAGCTTTAGCTAAATTTCATTACGATTTAAAGAAAAAAAAATGCTTGGATTAATCAAATCTTTGAACGTAGTAAAAGAATTTGATTCTTTATCTGCAATGGGATAAAGATTTCGGGGACATTTATGTAATTGAAAACAAATTCTAGAAAGCTTTACACGAAGCTTTGAAAGGTTACTCGAAGCTTTACTCGAAATAACTTAAGCTTTGAAAGGTTAGTCTTACTTTATAACTAAATGTCTCTATTAGCAATCTTTTATGAATCTTTTTGATCAATATTTTTTTTCTAAAAGACATTTGTTTTCGAAACTTTAATTAATCCAGCCAATTTTCATTCAATAACCCAATTTTCAACTAATCCAATGCGAAATCGAGTCAATGATACGAAAATTGAAATGAAAACTGACAGTTGATGACGATCGCGTTCTTAAATGACTTTTAGAAATGCACTAGTTAAAGAGCCATCGAACTTTACTGGTTATAGGCTACAGATCTCTTCAGCCAAATCTCGATAACCAAACCATTTCAATCTCGATAAGAGCTCCCACGTTGCTCTCCAAATTCTGAACCAAAAATCGTGTCACTCTGCCCTCTTTCTTCCCACTCAGATTTGCCTATTTTCCTTTTCACTCCATTCTTTATCCAGAGCTTATCCCACCTTTTCTCTATTCTAAAATGGGACACATTTCATCTAAATTCATCCACAAAGAATTGAATGATATTCGCTTTTCATTGACGCTATTCCGACGAATATTCAATGGAAGATTTGGTGAGAAAATCTGGCAAAAACAATCAGCACAAAAGAAAAACATTCTTCTTTTCCTTTTTCTTTTCACCGATTCGAGTGAACCGGTCAATTCCATTGGAAGATTGGAAGAAGATCTCTGTTTTACGTTTTAAAATTTCTCCCCCAAATCTGGAGATCAATAGGTTTTCGGGAAAGAAAAGCATCAGACGAAGATCGTTCTCTGGAGAAAGAATGAAACGATTAAAAAACAGCAGAAATCTAGAAATCTTCAGTAGGACTTATTGTAAGAAATATTAAAGATTCAGTGTGCTAAAAAGGGTGTGTTTATAGTCTAGAGTTTATAGTTTAAAGTATGAATCAAGGAACAGGCTACTGATTAAATTCTTGAACTAAAAGGACAGGGATCTTAGAGAGAGCCTCTGCTATGAGCCTCTTGGAAGGAGGACTTTCTTGTGCGTCCATAGTGGTAGAGCTTTTGTTAGCGTAAAGTAGTGGTAACGGTTCGATCCCATGGAATAGAGGGTGCATTGCTTGAGGGCTCGTAGCAGAATTTTACCGAGCCCTGTAATCCAGGTTAGGTTAGATTATTGGCCAATAACAAGAACAACAGCTAGGCCAGCAGCCAGGCCAACAGCTAGGCCAATAACAAGAACAACAGCTAGGCCAGCAGCCAGGCCAACAACCAGGCCAATAACAAGAACAACAGCTAGGCCAGCAGCCAGGCCAACAACCAGGCCAATAACAAGAACAACAGCTAGGCCAGCAGCCAGGCCAACAACCAGGCCAATAACAAGAACAACAGCTAGGCCAGCAGCCAGGCCAACAACCAGGCCAACAACCAAGCCAGCAGCCAGGCCAATATCTGGCCAATAGCCAGGCCAACAACTAGGCCAGCAACAACACTACAAAACTAGAAAAAGTTCTAAACGTTCTTAAAAAAAAATTATCAAGAGAAAACGTACCAAACGTTTACGTTTACCAATTAATTTCAGGCCCTCTTCCACCTGATCTCTTGGTCGTTCAACGTACGCTTTGAGATCTTTGCCACTTCACCGAAAATGAAATCCACTCGCGATCCCTCCCCACAACACTACACAATCGGTGAGAGGCGATCGATGCCGATTCACTTCATTCAACACGAAAATCTTTTTCATCCACTCTATCGTGTCCCCGATGATTAATAGTTTTTAAAAGCTTTAAAAAATTTCGTTAATGGACCCGAGCCAGCATTCTCTGATTTGAAGCTGTTCTTTTAGATGAATACATCAAAGTTTACAAAAGAATTCATTTTCTCACAATCAAGCCTTATCATTTTTGCTCATTCTTTTTTGACTTTTTCATCATTTTCGGGTATTCTTCGTATCCCGTTTTAATAGCTGCAGTACTTTGGCTCAATTTTTTTCATATTTTTTCATATTTTAAATAAATATGTTAGCTAGACTGGTCAAAAGTATTATTTATTACTGTAGGATTCTGGTATTGAGTTTTTATTTTTTAAAATTTCCCCCTCGGCGCTTTTGAGTCGAGCGCAAAAAATATCGACTCCAAGAAATTAGAGGGTTACAGTGAAATTTTCGTTTTTTTCATTCTTTTTCATTTTTTTCATTTTTTTTTCATTTTGCCTTAGATTTTTGTGATTTCTTTTCATAGTTATAGGTAAATTATATATTTTGAATTATTCAAATCTTCTTTTGAACTCTTTTTTTTCTCTTTTTTTCTCTTTTTTATCACCTTTTCTCTTTCTCTTTCTTTTTTTAACCTAGAAAAACGGATTTGAGAGAATAATCTTGGAGAATTTAATGGAAATTTGATGGAAAATTCTCTTTCCTTACATTTTCAACGTTCGTTTTATATATTTGTGACGTTTATTTTAATAAATAGAGTTTATCCTTTTTCAAGTTTATCCTTTGGAGCTTCTAAAACTCGTGGGAAAGATGTGAAACGAGGTTTTCAAGGATTTCAAGGATTTCAATGATTTCAAGGATTTCAATTTGGTAGAAATGAGAAGGAATTTATTCAAATTTATTCAAATTTATTCAAAAATGCATCTATTTACAAGAAAATTTACAAATAAAACATTTTGACTTAGATTTTAAATGAAAAAACAATGGTAGAACTTGAAAAAAATAAGAAAATAAGAAAAACTGTGTATTTAAAGTATTCACGAGTTAAATTCAAGTTACAATTTAGTAAACTCTTTACAAGACCACACATTTTACGGTGAAACCGTTGACTTTATGAACTTTAAACAACGGTAATCATATATGTAATTCGTTAGAGCGTAAAATAAACAATAATATGGGGAAAGAGTTCTTGAAAAAAAAATGTATCCCGAATACGAGATACTTTCCATACTTTTACTTCTAATTTTTAGTAGATTTATTTGGCACAAATAATGAATTTGCCCTTACCCAAATGTTTTTAAGAAAAAAAAAACCATAATGATGAGAAAAAGAAGCAATTTTTCTGACCGCCGGGATCGAAACTTTGACCGGAGACAAGACTAGGAGACAAGACTCCCAGTCCGATCCAAGACAAGACTCCCAGTCCGATCCAAGACAAGACTCCCAATCCGATCCAAGACAAGACTCCTAGTCCGATCCAAGACAAGACTCCCAGTCCGATCCAAGACAAGACTCCCAGTCCGATCCAAGACAAGACTCCTAGTCCGATCCAAGACAAGACTCCCAGTCCGATCCAAGACAAGACTCCCAGTCCGATCCAAGACAAGACTCCCAGTCCGATCCAAGACAAGACTCCCAGTCCGATCCAAGACAAGACTCCCAGTCCGATCCAAGACAAGACTCCCAGTCCGATCCAAGACAAGACTCCCAGTCCGATCCAAGACAAGACTCCTAGTCCGATCCAAGACAAGACTCCCAATCCGATCCAAGACAAGACTCCTAGTCCGATCCAAGACAAGACTCCTAGTCCGATCCAAGACAAGACTCCTATCCTACGACGCCTTTTACATAGTACAACGAAAGTTCAAGACTGAGTTTATGCTGATGTCTATCTTCTGACTCCGCATATTTGTCTAGCCATTTTTAAGTCAAGAATTAGTGTTTTAGAGTCTCAAATTTAGCTTATAACCTGTCACGCGTCTTCCATCTCCACTATTAGCCATCCCTATGGCCTAACCCTTCCCTATTGCCCTATAGTTTCTAGTCCTTTCCCAGCTTCTTCGCGTATCCTCTTCAAATATTGCATCATCTCATCTCAATGACTCTAAAAAAGAGGGGTTCATTCAGCGGAAATGGCCATGAATTTGGCCCACAATTGGGGTCACTTTTGGAGAAGCTGAGGGAAGGCAAAGAATGGCTAAAATTGGACACTGAGCCCGAGTCTTTTTCTTATGTAGAAAAGGGATTAGAATGAAAAGACAAAGACCAGAAAAAAGACAAGGAAAAGGTTAAAACTTCTGAGAAGAAATGAGGAAAATGGGCAAAAAAAAAAAAAAGGGAGGCAATGTATTCTTTGAGGGGATGACGTTATCGGAATGCTTTAATGTCCCCAGGGATCAGTCTGGAGTGTTGGTTGAAGGTAAGAAAAGTTTTAGGGGGTTTCGACAAGATGAATTGCGAGTTCAATTCAAAATTTGAGTCTGAGATTTTGAGATTTCCTTTTAAGAAGTGGCTTTGGTCTATCTTTTGAGTTTTAGCAGTGATGAATTGGAACGGTAAAATGTTTACATAGGCGTTACTATATGCCTTATGCAAATCTAACTTCTAAAGTCTATGTATGACTTATAAATAGTCTAATCTATCTTTTGACTTTCAGAAGTGATGAATTAGAACGGTAAAATGTTTACATAGGCATTACTATATGCCTTGTGCAAATCTAACTTTTAAAGTCTATGTATGACTTATATATAGTCTATATATCTAGTCTTTCAGCAGTTTTGACTTTCAGCAGTGATGAATTAGAACGAGAAATTATGATCTTAGTCTTGGTTCGGATTAGGGCAAAGATCAAGCAAAATCAGAAACCAGGCCTAGCAAAGGCTTTACCTTAGCCTAGACCTTTAAAACTTGCTCTTGAGCCCTTGAGCGACCCCATCCCACCATGGCCGAGCGGTTAGGAGTCTTATCTGTTCTATCAAAGTTGTATCAAAGTCAAGAGGTCTCGGATTCGGGAACTTTTACTCTTTTTCTTTACAACATCTTTAAAGCAATAGGAGTTGTGTGTAAAGTTGTGTATCTGTTTGTGTCACAGTATTCATGTTGAAGAAATGTAGTTGGATAAGTGTAGTTGGATAAATGTATTTATGTTGGATAAATGTAGACTTTGGTAGATCAAAGCAGTTTTTTGAGCTTTCAAACGCAACTAAGACCATGTCTATAGCAAATAAAATTTTCAAATTAGTTTACCGTAGTCATTCTCTACTTTCATTCTTTTTTTACAATATGTAGATCAAATATCCATTTATCTGAAGGCTGCTATTCTTTTTGTGCTTTTTCTTTATAATTATCCTCATTTTTTTACCTGCAACTTGAGCAACTTTTCCGGGAAATGACGTCCCTCTTTTCTCTCTTTCTTTTTCGAAAGTCCTTCAATTTCATTCATCCTTTTTGGATAAGAGACGCCCGACTGATTGTCGCCTTTTTTCTTTCTTTTTTTCTTTCTTTCTTTTCAGTCATTTTTAGACACTTAATGACCATTCACTCTCCAGTTTCCGATGCTAAAAATATTTCGATAAGGTCGAATTTTGAAACATTCTCGTTGAATTGAGAGGATTTCTTTTGAGAGAGTGATTGACATGAGAGAAAGTGAGTTCCCAGAGAAGTCTAACGGGAAACGCAAGAGATAAGAGCTTATGAAACATTTGTGAAAGTGTGTGAAAGTAAAAAAAAAAACTCTGACGTGAATACAAGCAATGGTGCTCGAATTCCAGAACTGAGTTTGCTCTTTTCGTACACAAAAACGGCATACTCCGCGAGCCTGTCTGTTGCGTGCTCTAGGCTGACAAAAATTGGAAATACTCTCCTTCTGGCACAGGCTCTTTTGAGCTATAGCTTTTGAGCTATGAACCAGTCATCTAGAGATCCATCCAGAGACATCCAGAGAGTCCAGAGAGCTATGATCTTCCTAAAAAAACGATTCTAACTGATCTAGTTAATATCTTTCTAATGAGCGATAAGTTCGTCCGTCCAAAATTTGCCCCGGTTAAGTATTCAATGCCTAATTTCAAAATGAAACTCCAATAATCTAGAGTTTAGCCTTTAGAGTCAGACTTGAAAATGAAAAATCTCATTTTTTTCCGAAAGCGAGACAGGAAACGAGAATGGCGCCGAAAAAAAAGTGCAAAGATTGATGTGTGGGTGGAATGACTGGAGTAAAGCTGAAGTAAAATGACGTTTTCGCGAAAAAGACTAGCAAAGATCCCAAAAATAACCACTACAACTAAAACTACTCCGAATTTCTTTATTTAATTTGACTTGAAATAGCCGAGAAATGAACAAGAGACTGAAAAAGAAAGAAAAGAAAAAAAAAATTCAATTTTATCTTTATTCTTAGACGATTAGATTCGAAGACCCGAAATAACTGAGTGGCTTTAGAAATTAGATTTGAAAAACCTTTAAATAACCATTGATTCATTGCGACTAGCTTGTTGGGCTTTATTTTAAGAATCCTGAAGAAAGCGAGAAAGTGCTGAGGTAAAAAGGAAATGGAGGGACTGAAAAAAAAAAGTTAAAGCTTATCAGATAAAGTTTACATTTAATTCAACTGACTCTTAGCTAGGATTAAGCGTTTAACTGAATATCTTAAAGCGATTAAATAGTGATAAACGTTTAGCTCAATATCATAAAGCGATTAAATAGTGATAAACGTTTAGCTCAATACCTTAAAGCGATTAAATGGTGATAAACGTTTAACTCAATATCTTAAAGCGATTAAACTGTGATAAACGTTTAACTGAATATCTTAAAGCCGATTAAATTGTGATAACCGTTTAACTGAATATCCTAAAGCCGATTAAACAGTAATAAACGTTTAACTGAAGATCTTAAAGCTATTAAACAGTAATAAACGCTTGACTCAATATCTTAAAGCTATTAAATTGTAAAGAATCTAGAAAATTGTGAAGAAGCTCACGTTTGAACCCAAAAAAAAAAAACTCATCTCTGTCCGAGTTACTCAGCTTTGAATAAGCCAATTTGTCGTAATCTCGTAATGA